GGAGGAGAAAAAAAAAAAAATCGTTCGAGTGCGCGGGGGAGAGGTGGAGTGCAGGAGAGGGGAGAGGGAGCGGGGGGGGGAGAGAAGAGGCCCGAGAGAGCAAGTGGGGAATGTGTATCTTTCTTGATGATAGACACAAAAAATGAGAGAGAGACAGAGTGAGAGCGGGAAAATATCCGCAGAGAGAAGAGACAGAGAGAGAGAGAGAGAGAGAGAGAGAGAGAGAGAGAGAGAGAGAGAGAGAGAGAGAGAGAGAGAGAGAGAGAGAGAGAGAGAGAGTAAGTAGTAGTATCATTACTTCATGACACTGACATCACGATATTTGTTCTTCTGTTTAATGAATATTTTATGGTGTCAGTGTTAGAATAAGTGAAAAAATAACCGCCAAAGTTTGGTAACTTCCAAGCTAGAGTGTCCCCGGAAACTGCAAATTTATATGTGAGGCAGCGTGGTGGAATCAGGCTCTCGTCAAAATAATCAAAGTGAAGAAACTTGCATTTTTCCGCAGGTTTGTGAATTTTTATCAAATTTTTGTTTTTCGGCTCAACACCTTTCATGTCCATTAAAGAACTCATTCTGTGTGGATTTTTCTGAAAAATGTTGATTAACTGATTCCGTCCATTCGGCCGCTGACAGCGGCTCTGAGTTTTTCTGCTGCCTCCATTCGGCCGCTGTGAGCGGCTCAACGAAATCCGAAACAAAGGTGCACTTTTTAACATAGTTCCTACTTTTTAAGTTGTCGAAAGGAAGTAGAACTTGTAAACAAACCTGACCTCAATCTTTGAGCGCCAATATCGATCAAAACTCCGCGAAATTCTTGCAAAAATCGTTGTTTTGTTGTCGCGATGTAGGCTAGATCTAAGGGTAAACAACATGGAGCCTGGTATAATAAAAGGGCTCTTCAAAGAAAGATATTCAACTAAATTTGTGAAATTCTTGCATAAATGTGTGCTAGGGTGATATCGCTACAATGTTGTGTTGATTCCTATGGATTATAAGGACTTGTAGAGCTGAGAAAATGCGGTAAGTCGAAATTTTCGAAGAGCTGTTGCGCAATTTTTTTTTCTCATTCGTTTTTGTCAGAAGGAAATTGTAATACAAACAGATTATAGGTCATTGTTATTGATATAAACAGATTTTTCTATTTATTCCCATCAGTTTGGTATATGACAATACATATTAGAGTGACTTAGAGCTTCACAGTAATGCGTTAAATAGATGCACCCCAGGTCTAAAACTGAGCAGGGAAAAATAACTCTGTCCAGAGCCTGAAAAAATCATGGACGGAATCAGTTAAAGGCACAAAAAATGTAAATTTTAGGTTACCACGGACTCTTATGCTAAGGAAATAATTAATCTTTGGCGGCCATTTTCTCTTTAATTTTTTCTCTGAAAACAAGCGACCCCCATCTCGTTCTTTTGCAAATATCTCAACTTGTATTCAAGATAAATGGATATTTTTTTCATCCAAATAAAGACAAGTGAACAAGCCTTAAGATAATACTTATAACTCTACATGTCTAAAAATTGACGAGAGCCTGATTCCACCACGCTGCCTCACATATTCTCTGTGTCTTTGATCAACATTGTTCAGTAACATCCACACAGAAATGTGTTTTTAAACTGACATAGAAGGTGTTGAGCCCCCCAAAAAATTAATAAAATTGATATTTTTAAAAACTACCCAATTGGCAAAAAAAAAAAAAGTGATGATTTCTTCTTTCTATCTCATTATTTTGACAAGCACGTGATTCCATGGAAATGCCACATAATAATAAGTTCATTATTTTTGTTGCTTTATTTTCAGAAAGCAGTGAAGGCAAGGTGACTGTCACAGTACAGCTTTCATACACTGTGCAGATCTCCTGTAACACGGGCAGCATAAAATCTGGTTTGGCGGACAAAGTGAAAGAACTGATCCAAGCATTGGCGAGGAAATGGGATGCCATCTGCTTGCCCTCGGTAGACGACTGTTTGAATGTCGACGTGTCTGCTGAATGTGGGGCAACTTCTGACAGCATCATCGTCACAGCTGTCTTGAACAACTTGAGGTGAGCTCTCCTTTTTTTTGTGTCGGCTTGAAGGTTGGTGGGGGGGGGGTAGTTTTGGTTTTGTTTTGTTTTTATTTTCATTTTTTCGTTCAATAAGAAAGAAGTAAGAGAAAGATAGTGAGGAGGAGGA